TCAAGGCAATATGGGTCAATAATCACAATGAAATAGAATAAGTCACTACACATAATAGGTATTCTTACTATTATCAGTTCACCTGTCTTCCTACTATAAACTTGTACTTTTACCTATTATGTGTAGAGACTTATTCTATTACATTGTGATTATTGAACCATATTGCCTTGATTGGGTTAACATTTTCGTATAAATATTCATGTATATTAGAGTAAAGCCTGATGACGATCTAATTGAAAACAATTGTTCGCTTATATGTGTTGTTCTAATTTACTAGAATTGGTGATTAGATAACAATGCTGAGACGATTTGTTCGATTCCACATATCCTGAACGAGACTGATCGAATTCACTCCCTAATAATAACAATAGGATAATTCAAACGTCATACTCATTAAGCGCGTGTGGTTAAGCGGTCTCCGTAGCTCAGTGGTTAGTACGTTGGCAATCAAGGAATTCCGTACTAAGTTAGACTATCCATGTAAACCACAACATCGTGATGCGAACAATTCCAGATGACATGTCACAAATAGGGCAAAATGTGTGTTATGGATTCCAGTGATATTCACAATCCAAATTTACTAAAATTTATTCAATTAGAATCGCACCCTATTTCCTTACAATCCATACTGCATAACCGTAATTAATCTAAGTCATCTAAGTTCATAGAATATCTAAATGCTTAGATTTAACGATACATTAAAATAAGACTTCAAAGTGTTCCTTAATGTTATTATGCAATCTTCTGTAAGTATATTTAGAAAGAATAATAAGTTTATTTGAGAGCATATTAATAGCAGACGGATACCCTGAATAAATTAAAACACAATCTGACGCCATAGTTTAAAACATTATCATTCACTCACAAGTACAAAAGCTTAGAGACTAAGTAATGATCAGTATTATTAGTATAGGGTATTCGTGGCGACTGTGGTATTTCCATAGTTTTGAATCATGAACTGATCATGGCTAGATGATCATTGAGAACCTGGAAGCCCTAAATGAGGGTTGCGTAATATCATGAATTGATCACAATTAGACAGTAAAACCGTAGGAAGCCCGCCCAGTGGTATAGAGGATGATTTTACGCGCAAGGCAGAAAGTCCTGGTTTAGATTCGCAGATGCTCATTGCTGAGGAGTCCCACACTAGCACTAAATAACCGACCTGTGCTCTCAGGTTTCTGAAGGCGGTCTAGCTGATATAAATTTGTGACCTAAAACTGTGAAGATTAGTATTACTATTATTCTTATACGTAAAAAAGGCGACTGCCTTCCGACCATCTCTCATCCTTCTTGTCTTTACCAATAACGTAAGGCAATTCGAACACTGATTCATGATGTGAATTACCATCAACCATTAAATCAGACAGACACTATAAACCTTATATTTTAATCCATTACGCTTAACTTACGATTAACCAAAAACCAGCCGAGTGATCATTGGTTTGGTTATCTTTGGCATACAAAAAATGATTATTCATATTTTGTATTTAAAAATAATAAAGTAGGTCACAGTACTATTATACCAATACATGTGAATAATAATAATCCGTCAAAACGTGTCATTGATGCTGGGTCAAACTAATCCGATTATTACATAGACATGTATTTATATATATTTTATGTATTAGTTTATAGAAGTGTGAATTTACGTGTCCGTGTGTTTTGCAATTTAGTGTACTAACATTCAAGTAGATTGGCTCAACTTGATCCGGCCAAAACAATGGTTTGCATGTATTTATGTAATCAAATCAAAAAAGCCAACGGTTCACTATGTGTATTGTGAATTTCATGCAGAAATCATTAATGAAAATAATTAACCATTTTGTAATTGTTATCCAAGTAAATTGTAGTATTCACCTCCTCTACTCGAAGATATGTGCCTTTCATTTTTCATAAAAACAAACGATGTATATGTTGTCAAGAGAAACTTAGATACATCCATGTAAATTATTTACGTGTACATAACCAGACAACTAAGACATACTTTGATTTTTCAAAAAAAAAAATTCTTATGAAGTGAACAATTCACATATAACCTTTCACTTAGTCACACTATATATGAATAAAAATGAGCATATGCACATAGAAACTATTACAGTATACACAAACACCGGATAATAACAATAATGTATTATATTATTCATATTACAAATGTTTTCAGTCATCTTACTATCTGTGTAACCATTCTAAACGTATAAAGAGTTGTATTTTAATAGCAAACAACAAAATTAATCGCAAAAGGGGATATGAAAAGTAAGGAATTCTGGAAGATGATATAAAATGATTAAGACAGTCAGATATTTTACAGTTCAATTCATGAGTCAATTATGGCTAGACCACCAAGGAAAACCTGGAAGCACTGGACGGGCGTTTCGTTCTAGTATGGAACTCCTCAGCAAAGCACGTCCACGATCCCGCCCCGCGAGATTTCGTCCAATGCTCCCAGGTTTTCTATGGTGGTTAAGCTTCAATGGACTCATGAGTTCAACTATAAAATCACTAAAATCTCCATAAACCATCTTCTGATAATAGTCAGATATTTTGTGTAATGGCGAATGTTCACTAAATAGAAATGAAATAATACATGTTTGCCCAATTATGTACGAAAATTAGAACAAAGTATTCGAAAGAGAATTATTGAATTGAATTTAAAAACAGTCTTCACATACAGTGTATATACAGTTTTAACAAGGTACTATAACACATGATGAGTTTACAGAAAAATGTAGTGTCGTAAATTGAGCAACACTCTATTTTCAATGTTTAAAGTGACCTAGTGAACAATCCGTCAAAATAAACAAAAAATTGTTCCGTTGTACTATTTAAACTTGGATTAATTTTAATTTGGTTATTTATTCTCTGAAGAAGTGACTCACACTAAGTCACGAAACGTCAGAAAATCTAATTTTCTACTCATTGCGATATTACAAATATATTATTTTTATTTATAACAATCAACCCAATGCTCAATTTATTCGAAATTATCAAATAAAACCTTGGTAATGATACCTACAATCTGTCAAAGCATCATTACATTTTCGGTAATTAACATTCAAATAGACATATTTTGGTTACAATTTGATAATTGAAACTATATGAATGCGCTATTTGTACGAACTAATGATTCCTTTGTACTTGATGGCCCGCTAATTACTAATTAAAAATATAATACGCTCATTTGTGCTCATTTAGTTCTACCTGCCTTAAATTGTCCCCAAATGCCCTGGTACGGGCGAGAGTGAGGAGAGTCCGCTCTCCCTCTCGAAATGCTCTCACATGGTGACGCTTATATAGCCTCTGCCAGCGAAGTCACACTCACTGCCTTATCGCAGAGGGGGTGTTGTTTACGAAATTGAGAGGACGAAAAGCTAATGTTCGGCGCTTTAACCGGGTCGGTGGATATGGAGGATCCACCTAAGGGAGTTGGAAAACCCTGATTCCAAACCAATCGTGCACATGGGCTCCAGTATCCTACGGGAACAAATGACATGTGAACCAATCGTTGGTTACCGGCTACCATGGGACTGCATCTCCTGACGATGCTCCACCGTCTTGTAGATCAGATCTTCAGGTCGAAGGCTCCGGGTATGGTCCCCTAAGAAAACCAGTTGTTTCGGTTTGGGCACCCGGGCAGTATTACAGCCCTCACACAAATCAAATGAGGTTTGTGTGGTGCATATATATTTGGTGCTTCCTTTTACCAATATCTATGTGTTAACATAAAATAAAAAAAAAAACCTGCCTTAAATTGCACTATTTTGGGAATTCTTAATTAGCAAATTTATTCAAATACTTTTAATTATCATAATAAAGTAATTACTAGATGAAATGAGATAAATCGAAGTATTAAATACGATGATCAAATGAAATTGAGGCAAAATTTTTCACATTCTACTTATGTTTTGAGTAATATTTTATTTCGAAATTACAATTAATAAGAAAGAAGCTTTTACATAACTTAAGTATATCAGATGATAAATACACTTAGACAGAAACTACTAGTTAAATTTATCATGTATGTTTCGCACCATTTGAAATTCATTTGCTGAATTCATCTGCATAATAATAATGCTAAAATTTCACAAATCCAGTATTCATCATTTCAAACGCTACGATTACGTTCACTAATCCACTGTGTAATGTAAGAATTATTGTTTATTCAACGAGTTTAAATGATTAATATTCTGATAGATTTTTGAGGACATTCACATTATTCAGTGAATTCAACATCGCTAGTTCAGTCCAAATCTTTGTAACAGAAACAAACAACAACAACTCAATTCGTTCAGTGAACAATTTTTACAAACTTAATTAGAGAAACGTTCTAACCTTATCTTCAATTTAAACCACATTCATCTGAAACCTAATCATTCGTTTAATTTTCATGTATAATAATAATAATAATAATCTGTCCGCAAATGTGTATGGATTATCACGTACATACTTGTAGAATATAATAAATACAGTGTTTAAATAATCCCTAGAGATGATTAGATAATCACTTATTATTCTCTACCATAGATTTGATAAGTAATATAAAAGGGAATAGATTCTTTTAAGTCAGTAATCAATTCGATTATTCAAAGATTAGATATTCATCTTCTATAATTAATCTGTATAATTTCATCATACTCACATTTAAAGGACACTACTCTATGAATAGAGTGAATTATGATAAACAAATAGAATTATCGGTCAAGTAATAATGTTCATGAACAAAATAAATGATGTATCATTTTAAATGAAAACTGTTACCCTGAGTAACTAAAAACGTTTTTGTTTAAATCGATTGAAAAAAAAACACAGTGAAAACTAATCAGAACTGACTGAACATTGTTTCATCACAGTTTATGACTAACTCTCCTTTGGTAATATGCATCCATAACCTCATATAGGATTGATTTTAGTCATTTTAGATCTCGTAACGATCAGTAGAGGCGTTATATACTTATAAATGAAAATGAAATACTGAATAAAAAACAAGTTAGCTAACTTACTTCTAACTTCTGTTTATGATATTCACTGCCAGGAACTGAAAAGTAATCAAACAAATAAAACTGAAAGAATTATGAGTAATTTGATCAAATTAGTTTGTTGTAAATAAGATAAACCATGTATTCCCTAAGCCAGTAATAAACATGGCGAAACTTGGAACATATAAGATTAGGTTTAAGATGTCACATCAAGTCAGCACAGTACGATGAATTTATTTATTTATTTAAACACATAAAGATTGGTACAAAAAGGCGCCAAATACATATGCGCCACACAAATCTCATTTGATATGTGTAAGGGCTGGGATACTACCCGGGTGCTCAAACCGAAACAGGTGGTTTTCTTAGGGCGTCACACCCGAAGCCTTTGAATTAAAGGTTTAATCCAAAAGGCGGTGGAGCAACTTTAGCAGATGCAGTTCCATGGCAGCCGGTGACTAACAATAGCTTCATACACCATTTTTTTTCCTTAGGATCCTGGAGTCCATGTGTACCATTGTTTTGGAATCAGGGTTTTCCAACTCCCCTAGGTGAACCCTCCATATTCATCAACCCGGTTAAAGCGCCGGACATTAGCTTTTCGTCCTCTCAATTTCGTAAACAACACTCCCCGCTGCGAGAAGGCAGTGAGTAGTATGAAATTATCAAGACAAACACCAAAGCATTTGAAGTATTAAAAACATCAATCCGACAGTCGATATCTGGATATCTCATCTTGGTTTGGTCGTCCTTAGCTTTTTTCCAATTTACTCTCATACAAGATATTAAAGCAAATCGAAGTAAACAGTGTGTTACAAGTGTAACAAACTGCTGTTCGCTATGATGTATCATTTTCAGGATGAAATAAAATTTTGAGGGATTAGATCAAATAACAGTTGGGTTTTCTTAAATTAATTGTTTGTTGATCAAAGACAAATTGAAAACTAGGTTCATAATCGTCTTTAATATCTTAGAAAGAGCAAGAACAAAGATTTGAGCAGAATAATATGAACTCATGTTATGTTGGTCAGGTTCTAATCAATTGCTAACAACCTGAAATATTTGAAGACCAAACTTATAAAATGGATTGAAAATACATAAGTGAATTTATTTAGAATCCTTTGTGATCACAATGAATTCATGCTATTTTTTCAAGCCTGTTATTGCTCTCTTCAACAATCTGAAAAGCTTAAGGAATTTTCGGTTAGCATCGGCGAGATGGTCAAAACCAGTAGTTATCGATAGAATTCATAGAAATAATATTGCTTTATCTAATATACTTTTATGAATTACACTAGCTGAGGGTTTCAACCTTTGATTTGAGCTTTAATTTTTGGTATGTTAAATGGTATGACTGTGTGTTAAGTAGTGAAATGTATTTATTGTGCAAAAACAACTTGTAATATCACTTGCCCTTTTAAACTTTACTAGGAGGATCATTTGAAAATTTATGAATCAGTTACTGGAAATAAAATGTATGTAAACCGATATACTGTCGATAACCAGTTGATTAGTTAGAGTAAACATTTTTTTAACTACAACATTCAATCCGAAATATAAACTATTACATGTTCAATCAGTTAAGTCAATTTTATTTTACCACCTTACAACTTTTCTCTTTCCATCTTTTAACAAGTACACGAGTTTACAATAAACCAATTAATATTTTAATATGAAGCAAGTTTGGATTAATCATACTGCTATGCTTGATTAACCCATATTCAATCTTGAAAAAGAACTCATTTTTAAAGGTGAAATAAGTCACAATCACATTAGCTTCATTCATAAATTTAAATAAAATAAGAAGTTCCAACAACTGTAAATCGTATTGTTTAAAGTAAATGAATACTATGATTTTTTTTAAAACTTCTCTTGGAGTCCCTCCGGGGGCTACTGCCGGTCCCAAGCCCGGATAAAGAAGGAGGGTTGGGCATGGGGTTAGCGACCCCAACCCTTAGAAAACTAAATCACTGAAAAATACGCTAACCAGAAAAAATTATTCAAACCTAATGATTTTCTAAAGTCATTACTTCATTCTAATGTACAACGTTCTACATTTGAATATCGAACTAACTTGTAAACTAACTAAATGGCAAATTATTTACTTACTAACGCCTATTTAATCCAAAAAAGGCTATTTCACATATTATACATTTTGGAAAATATTTACAAACAGTAATGTAATTTATAATTTCATGATTACGCAGTTTACACATAAATATTGGATCTAAAATACTCAATACTTACTGAACCCACTGTACTCCAAAAATTTATATTTGACTGATCACATGTCTTAACTAATCAATAGTAATAAAGAGTGAATAGATTCAACGAATATGCTGACATAGTCAAATCTTATGTTTATTTTTCACATGACATGACCAGTTAATTAATTTAAGTGAATAGCTCAGTGGTAACATCTTTGATTTTGATAAGGAGTAAAATGGGTTTGAATCCCATAGAAAGTATCAATATCTTTGTTAAAACTTGAGATACACCTTGATAATGAATACAAACCAGTGAAAAGTCTAGGTTCAAAACTATCTGACAGTAACAATACGGTATTCAATTATCATATTTGTTTAAGTGACTAAATCATACATCAGAACGATAATAAGAATAATAAGAATACCTGTAGTGTTCAGGAATTAGAGAAAATAACTTTAGATGAGGGTATATGAGGTTTACATCCTGCACGATATTCTACACATCAAGGATAATAAATGAATAAGTTTACTCCACCGAAACTTAAACTAATGTATATCCATATTGCGGAATTAATAATTCGTAAACAGTTTTATTAGATCGCTCTTCACAGTAAAATAAAGTTGTCCAGAAAAGAAAATTTGTTTGTATACTAATCATATAAAAGCTCAAGAGCAAACTTACTTGAACATCCATTTTCATGAATTTGTACACTAAGTTGATCATTAAGAGATGTAAATGATTTAAGATTATCGTCAGAAATGAGATTTTGTTGATAATGATTATGATTTTGAGTGTTATTACCGTCAGTATGATTAACTGAATGATGTATTGGTGTAGAAGTGGGAGAAGTTCTTATTGTAGGTAATGTTTGTGATTGATGACCAGATGTTGACAACGATAATGGATTAAAGTGATCTGATTTTGATGAAGCAGAATTAGATGATGGAGAAGATGAAGTAGAACAGACACCATTCGATCCATTGGTAATAGTAGCAGCCGCAGCACTACTATCACGGGCGTTACTATCGACAGTTTTATGCAGTACATCACCATTTGTAAGATTTGATGAACATGACATACAATAATAAGATCCATCCACGATGGTGGTTCGTTCACCTGAATTGAATAAACGTCTGAAGTAAAAACAAAGATTAAACACAAAAAATGATACAAAGCATTTAAGTACACACTAAAATTACTAACATAATAAGCAATTACTAAAAGAAACTATTCACATCAATTACTTGTATAAAATACATCTTATAATTGATCATTTCATCTAGTATGTTCACTGGTGTTGAAACGGAAAAAAATCTGGAAACGAAATATCTAGTATCAATTTCAAAAGTGTCCTTGTTTAAAATATAAACACAACATATGTGTGTAAAATACTTAGATCATAAAAGTCAGTAAAAATAATCTTGATATAAAATGAATTCACCTTTCTATACAACCTTCTTAACTCAGTTAGAGTTATGCCATGAGACTAGTTATTGGTTTTCATGATCCACTAAAGTAAGACTAATTTTATCCCTGAATTTCTAAATAAAAACTAGATTACTAACTATTTTGTTTACTGTAGGTGTCACAATTTAAATGTTGATTTGGTAAATACTGACAGAATTGTGGAACGATGATCAAGTGGCTAATTCACTCAGCTTTTAATCAGTAATTTGCATGATTTTATCAGGCTCCATCTACTTTATTTTAGGGAACTGTACAGTATCAATATCCCTCATAGTACGACTCTAAGGCATATATACGAACTTTTTCTTGATAGTGGAATTAAGGTGGACACGATTTATGACAGTATATTTAATAGAGCCTGTTGGATTTTCATTGTACTACTAGTTGATTGAAAGCTTTAATTACAGCATGATAATAGGACTCTATGCCGCTGGTTATTGTATATACTTACTACTCGTTTTAGTTGTTACAAGGTTATTGTTTTAAACTTTACAAAACTTCAGTTAGTAAGATGATCACTTTAACTGTTCTGTATTGCTAGTTTTTCAACCAATAATAATATCATCTTATGCTTGGAGCCATGAAAATAATTCATCGTAGGAGAACTATTGAATTATACTGAAATCAACTTTAGTAAATAGAAAACTGGTTTAAAAAAACTAAGGCGGCAAAACGCTACTGGTCAGTTGAACCTTAAAAGCGAAAATTATATTACTTAACAATAACAAGCATTCTATGACAGTAAATAAAATGAAAAGAAACTTATTATTATTTCTTCATACTTGGAAGTCAGAGTATGATCATATATCACTGTCTTGAACAGTTCGTAAGAATGAAATAGACTGTTTCGCACTGTTGTTTTAACTTCCTACTGATGAAAACAGTCACTAGACGACACTACAGTGATGTGAGCCAGCGGAGTGCAATCGCGTCGCGTGTGAGGCAGTTACCCACCAAAGACACTGGAAGATGGCCGTGCAACATGGTGGATTGATTGAGACTAGACATTAACATCTTTGGATGCCGGTTCAGTGGTCTGTACGTTAAGTGTTCGCACGAGATCGAAGGTTCTGGGTTCGAATCCCGAGTGCAGTATCGTGGATGCGACTTCCGAGGAGTCTCATACTAAGATGAAAGGGACATCCAGTGCTTCCATGTTTTCAAAGGAAGGCTTAAATTGATCAGTTCATGATCTCAAAAATAACAATTTTAATTTATTCTTGAAAATTATTTTCACAAACGTATCCTGGGTATATCTTTACATCCGATGTTAGTTGGATATTGTATTGCAGAAAGACTGTAAGCTGAAAGGTGTAGTTTTGTTAACATCTGCAACTTATAAAAATGATAAAAATGAATGAAAAGATTGTATTCAATAAGAATTCTCCAATAAATTTATTAAAATTATACTGTTGTATTTCTGGTTAATGGTTGCATGAAATAAAAGGGAAATGAATCAAGCTTTACTCTATAATCGCTTCAGATTATGACCAGACGGTCAACGAATACTCTACGTGAAATCAGTTTACATAAATACTCTAGTGACAATGATGTCTAGTTGAAAAAACAAAACATTCATCGATTAAGCGTTTGTATCAAAAAATAATAACAAGCAAATGATGGTTTATGTATTAATATTAATGAAATATGAAACGAACCTGCATGTTGTACAACGAAAACAATGAGTATGGAAAGTTTTCCCCAATACTGTAACAACTTCACCTTCTACATAACCATGACACGTTTCACATCTTACACCAAATTCTGTTTGATAATCATTTGGACAGTAGAAATTTTTATCTTTAACAAAAAATCCACCTTGTTTTAAATTTTTACAACATTCTATTCAAAATAAATATGGTTACAATTTTTTTGGGGAAAATTATTTAACTTACTGATACATTGAAAACATTTGTAATGAACAAATTGTTGTTCAATTTTCAATACATCACCTTTACATCGTTTATGACATACCGTACAATAAACTTTGACTACAATAAAACAAAGATCGAAATAAAATAATTAAAAAAAAAGTATCTTTAAAGGAAATTTATAATCAGCTTAATCAATAAGAATAATACATTAACTAATTACTTAGTACTATAATTACTCAATACCTATCAAGATTATGTAAAATATCGTTACTATGGCAACCGGACTAAAAGTAAATGGATAAGAATATAAAAAGTAACCAAAATTTTCTAATCATAAACATTTGACGAGTTAGAGATGTTTACAGTGAGATAAATGAAAAGTTAATTGATTATACATTTGAAATGAATTATTATTGTTAATAATAACAGTAGTAAATGTAATAGTGGAACGATGTCTATGAATGACCTTTGAAAGTAAGATTCATGTGTCTATAGATCAGTAAAATAAAGAAATCGAAACTTTTCCTTGTTTCACCTTATTTCTACTTAATGGTGTAAAAAAAAAATCTTGGTACTTGTTTGTTATGTTACACACGTTTTGATTTGATTTTATGGTTATCTTTAAAAAAGAATTAAAGCTATACAAGATGACTGAACATTTCGTTAAGGAATTCTGCATTTTTAGCAATATCCTACTAGAAGTTAGACCAATGTAACTTATGTAAATTTCTAAGTTGTTTTCAGTGTGTTTGAATAGGCCTCACTAAACCCAACTGATTTCTTGTAATGAGAAAATCAGGACTAAAAGATTGTCATAAATACTGACTAATAAAGTTCATTCAACTTTTGCAATCAAACAAATAGCAGTGAGATATTCAAACAAATGACATTTTGTCAATATATACCCAACCGAGATAACTGTAGTTAATTGATTAAGCAGCAAATACAAAGTTTTATCAACAACGCTGATTAGCAAGTTTATTTGACTTCTGTCAAAAAAAGTAGGAATATGCTAAGAACCTCCCTGGCTAAGTTGCCCAATAGTGTGCTCGATGTAACTATCTCTGCAGAGATGTGAATTGATTTATTTATGATATAATTTTGGTTGCCAAACTAGTTAGACACTATCAATAAAAATCTTAGATAACTGGATCTTGGAGCAATGTTTTAGTAATTTTAGCCTTTAAAACTTCAACCATTAGGTCGCAGATGTGAGTCCCGCTCACTCTGCATTTATTTGGGCAGCCAGGTGATAGTAAACTCCGCACAAAACGTGCCTTGAAATTGAGTTCACGAACATGTACTTGGTAAACTAGTTACATCATTGCCAAAATAATAACAAGCACTTCAAATCTAACCTAGTAACGAAACATTTACAGCCCAAAATGATAACTGAAACAACCAAATCTAGCTAAATTCACGCAATTCGTCTATACTTATAATTCCAGATAATACTAATCTTTCAAACAACCACTACTAGTTAATTACAACCAAACAAAGTTTTAAATCACTAGCTATAAATTTCATTTGTAAAAATTTGAATCGAAGCAGCGTGTTAACCAACATTAGGTTTGTGCACTCAAGTAGAAGTAATAATAAGATGACTTAGGTAAATAAACCTATTAGTATCCTAGTTTGCAACTGAATGACTGAGCGTCGGTTGTTTTAAACCCTTATCTGCCGCTCAGTAAACAAGGTACTGAAATCTCCAGCGTCAATTTGATAAACGGTCTGGTGCATCTATATCTCCCTTATATTCTCTATTTCTCTGTCATTTGTAAAAGTCTACTTCCATAAATTAGATATTCATGAAATAGTTTCAGTTTATTATTACTTTCAGACATGCTATTATAGTTTTGTGTACCATTGACATGAAAATATCTCCATATTTACTGGAATATACATTTATTCATACGATTCTTTCGAGTGTATTGCCAAATTTTATTTACTATGGTAAGTACTCTACCGCCACATACGTTAGAAATTTTTGCTTGTTCATAGTGGAAAACAAACCCAGTGCCAAGAATGCAAGTGACAAGACAACACTATGTACATATCATTATTCTGACTTGTGTGCAAAAGGTTACTCTTAACATTAAATCATAACTAAATTATTAGGATGGGCGAGTATTTAGAAGATAAAAAATAAGTACACACATGCAGTGTCTAGGCACTTGTTATTTAAGATCTCAATCACAGTTTTCAACTGCCCTATATAGTGTGATTGTTGTAGTTTAATAGCATCATTAGCCGTAACAAAGTAGATATACCCCCACTCCAGTTTCAGTTGCCTGTGAGACCCGAAAAAGACTCAAGTACATAATCTCTATCCACAAAACTCAGATCAATAATCCATCGCCTAACATCTCAGCAACAAAGTTTTTCACTAACGGAGTAACGGTTTGCATGATTTGTATTAATCACTCCAACGAAGTGTGAAGATCTATTTATTTCGTCCTCGGTGCTAAAATGTACTGAGATAAAACATTAAAGCTCAACCAGTTAGTATGCTTATGTAGAGTGGGTACTTTAACAGCAAGCAGAAAATAACTCATGTTAATTAACAGGGAAACGTTTATGTTAAACCATTTTAATTACTGATAGAACTTCATTAACCTAGCCAGAAAGAAATTCACGTAGTTGATACCAAGCATTTTCGCCACCTAAATTATCAGAATGTTTCCACTTTGTTTGGAAATCTGATAATGAGAGTTGGTTGGTAAAATATTGCTGCTAAATATTCAGACAAAGAATTATCGCTAAAGTGGATCTAGATTCCGCCAACATAGAGTAAATCATAAAACTAACATGATATACAAAATCGCTTCATTTAAACATCAACGTACGATTGACTTTCCATTGTAAATCTGGAATTTAATGCAGTAAACCATGAATAATTTGGATTCGGTCACAAAACTATTTCGTCATAATGTTGTTTTTCGTAGGATGAGGTGCCTAATTATTTACAGATGAATAACTATAAAGACAGTTCTTATAACCCTATTCCCACAGAATCATACTCTGGAGTGACTTATGTTGAAATAATCCATAAATTTAAAAGTAATATGACTTGTTTACCGAGTACGGATTGTTATGCTTGGCTTTAAGCTACACTTCAAATATTAGGTCCAGTGATACTACTCCGGTGAACAAACTGAAGTAGGATTATAAGTAAAGATGGATAGTGGCTAGCAGTGGAATCCAGGACGCGCGTTTCGTCCTGTTTGGGACTCGTCAGCTGGATGTGCCTGCATCTCAGAGTTGATGTTCACTCTGGGACTCGAACCCAGTACCGTTCACTTCAAACGCCATCGCGTTATCCACTTAGCTACTGAGTCCTGATAACCACTTGCTTGTGTAATGGGGTGAAGTTTAATTCACTTGGTATTGTTTTACTTGAATCTTCCCATTGATGTTTTAGGACTGAAATTGATCAGTCTCTTGTAAATTAAGGCAATATCGAGGCATACGCACAGTATGCACATATGCCAATAAGAGACTGATCAATTTCAGTCCTAAAACATCAATGGGAAGATTCAAGTAAAACAATACCAAGTGAATTAAACTGAAGTAGGTGGAGAGGGTTTCAAATCAACGAACTAGTGGTTGAAAGACGAATAGTTCCACTGACACGGCATATAGCTATGAGTATCACACACCTGAAGGATTTTTTACCAGCACCTATAGGTTAACTAAGTAAAATTATCAAATTGTCGTACAGCTCTTAGTAGAAGGTATGTTGTTTCCTCATAATCTACGTACTAAGTGATTTTGCTACAACATTCTGAACTACCGGAAACTCGCAAAATTTATATTCCTGAGTTATGTTGAATTTCATAGGCCTCCTGTATAAGCTAATGACAATAAATAAGATTTAACTGGGCATTTACTCTTGAAGCCAAAAATAATCCATGCTAATAAAATCCAACGAAATGCGTCGGGAGATGCAGTCACATGGTAGCCGGTGACCAACAATAGATTCATACGCCATTTATTCACTCAGGATACTGGAGCCCACGTGCACCATTGGTTTGGAATCAGGGTTTTCCCACTCACCTAGGTGGATCCTCCATATTCACCTGGTCAGAGCACCGGACATTAGCTTTTCGTCCTCTCAGTTTCTTAAACAACATACCCTCCGCGATAAGGCAATGAGTGTGACTTCCCTGGCCATGGCTGTATACGCGTGGCCTTATGAGGGCATTTCAAGAGGGAGAGCTGACTCTCTTCACCCTCGGCCGTACCAGGGTATTTATGGGCTAAGATGGATAATGGCTAGCGGTAGAATCCAGGACGCGTTTTTAGTCCTGTTTAGGACTCGTCAGTTGGATATACCTGCATCCGAGAGTTGATGTCCACTCTGGGACTCGGACCCAGTACCGCTTGCTCCAAACACCATCGCGTTACCCACTTAGCTACTGAGTCCTTATTGACAGTTAAATCAGCCAGTTGAAAATTCGTTGCGCAAACTGAGAGGTGATACCAAGTGCCCCAATAATTGCTTTCAGCTTATATGATTTATCATTTAAAGCAAATATGATGGTTCCATAGAACTATCTTGTAAATAATATTTTAAAACTTCAGTCGTATTTTGAATATTAAATAGTTAAAAAGATTGGATCTGGTTTGCAATAAAACATTACTTTGAATATTCAAATAATTCGTTAATATAAAAATATTCGTAAGCCAATTATACAAATATAGCAGAATGCACATTCGCATATGACATTGATAGCTTCCTGTAAGCTATGTAATATTTCCGCCAGAGAGTATTGAGAGCTATTTGTTGAATCAGTATGACCTCCTATTACGTTATCAAACGATTTACTAAGTGCTTTATTTATTTCCCTGTTATAATTTCTCATGTCATGACCCAGTTATTCCTATTGCTTAGTAATCTTGGACACTACTTGACTCGACAAGTCCCCAAATCAGAACACGGTAGAGCAGGAACGAAATTATGTTCCGAATAACAAGGGTAGATGGACGTAGGAAGCACATTAGGAAAAACGTTAGTATATTAATAGTTTTTACATAACATTCCAGAGTCTTCTTCAAGCATCCACTAGCGCTGATTGGATAAGAAATAGCCAATAGGAGTGCACTAACACAATCCTGCACAGAACGTGTCTTATTCAAATCAATATTCCGCTTACACCCTACCTATTCCGATGACCTATCGATGAAAATTAGAGGAACAATTATGAAAACTACAGCAAACGAAGCGAATCAGAAGCTAAACGACTACAACGGAATACCAACGAATGTTGTTTGAACCGACTTCCGAAAAGCATTTTAGTGAGGTGACGCGTAGCAAACTCCTTATGGTGATGGCAAATCTAGGGATCAGTAACTTCCCGGTAGGTCGACGACAGAAAACAGAAATGAAGTAACACAAAGCTTAGCTGTAGTTCCTTTACTTTTCGTACTGTACTTGAATGAACTCTCGAATATTTTGGTGCCCCTAATACCATTTTGTGTTAAAGACATCAAAATCCGATGAGAAGTAACGGGGAATACAGATGTATGTGTACTCAAGACCGATATAGACGTTTCATTTAGCTGGTCTAAACTGTGGTTGATATCTATTGAGGCGGACAAGCGTCTATATGCACAGTGGATACACAGGTAAATAACTACAGTATTAGGGAGATGTCCGTCTTGTCACATGATAATCTAGGGGTAACAGTGACCCCCATCCACAAGAATATGGTCCACTGGCGTGCGTTTTGAGATAAGGAGTTTGGAAGAATATGGGCCTTAAGATGGATATTTCTCAAGTTGGTACAAGTATGATGGCTACGGTATACACAAGCTTGGTGAGATCTAAACCTGAAAACCAATCTCAGGCTAAAGGCCTCAGTTTACAATGTGACTCGCATAACTTAGAAGTACGAAAAACAGATATCTGTGCAAATTCAAAGATTAACTGTTATGACGGGATGAAGAGTCAAAGTAGATTGATTACTCATTATGATTTTTATTCAACATTAATTCAATTTGATGATCACGCAGTATAGTATTTGTTTCGTTTTCCCTTATGACATTTTGTTCTGTATAACATATGATGTTCTTGTATGAAGTATTTTTCATATATGTGACTTCTGATTATTCATCAAAAATGGGCGTACAAACCAATATATAAATGAGCGTATTTCCGACTGGACTGGTCGGGATTGCTCGTGCTTCTGGTTGCTTGTGAAATATATTTCCCCGTTTCAAACTTGAACTTCTTTCTCTAGTTAGCAAGTCTGGGACGCATCAGAATAGCTAGCTTACTGATCTTTGTTCACCGAGCCTTTGTTTCGTTCGCAGACTAGGTGAACTCGTAATCGTAACAATACACAAGATTCTTTGGAAATTTATACCTTTTTACTCTGTTTTACTGCAGATCAAGAGGTTATTTGACTTTGATGTAAAGAACACCATGAAATGATTTTGAACCTTCTTATTTTCCTCCCAAAAGATCAGGACGGCTCAAAGGACATAGTAGGCGAGTTCAGAATCCAAGAACGAACGAAATATACATGGTATACAGATTTTCCCACATAGCCATAAACTCTTGGGACCTACTACCGGAAGGAGTGTTTGCATCTTCAAATGAATCATGCAAAACTAGGTCAGACACTCACAAGAGTTTAATAAAAGGGGAATAACACATGCCATAAGGATTCTGTCCTCAATAAACAATGTAAATCTGAAATATAAGATGCTTGTCCAGTCATCCCTCAAACTAGTTCAGAAATATTCTATGCGTGAAACGTTTTGAATCACAACTTTAGTTCACTAGTCGCTGAAAATAAAACCATAATCAGAAGTATTTTGTGATTAGGTAATACCGTCAGACATTTCATGAAGCATGCATACAGCTACTAATGGGATGCGTACATCAGAGAAAAGGACCTAAACTAAAAAACCAAAAAATGTTCCAAATATATAGGTCCTTAAAAATAATGGTACAATTATCAGATCTAAAAATATAATGAATCAACCAAAATCACAGCCTTTGATTTTAGCCATCATCATAGTACCTAAAGAAAAATTTGAAGATAGCTATTAACAAATATTCCACAAATTAACGGCGCCCAAATGCCCTGGTATGGCCGAGAGTGGGGTGGGCCCGCCCTCCCTCTTGAAATGCTCTCACACGGCCACGCGTATACAGCCTCTGCCAGAGAAGTCCTATTCACTGCCTTCTCGCACCAGGGGGTGTTGTTTACGAAAATCAGAGGACGAAAAGAGAATGTCCAGCGCATTAACCGGATCCCAAACCAAACCAATGGTGCACATGGGCTCCAGTATCCTGCGGGAACAAATGGCGTATGAATCAATCGTTGGTCACCGGCTTCCATGGGACTGCATCTCCTTACGATGCTCCACTGCCTTGTGGGTCAGACCTTTAGGTCAAAGGCTCGGGGTGTGGCCCCGATAAGAAAACCACCTGCTTTGGTCTGGGCACCCGGTCAGTATCACAGCCCTCACACAAATCGAGTGATTTATGTGGCGCATATCTACTTGGTGCCTCCTTGTACCAATGTTTATGTGTTTGAATAAATAATAAATAAATAAACTACAAATTAACAATGAATTAAATTTTGCTAAGATTCCGACACAACTAAGACATTTTGAACTTTACGATTGTTAGGACCAGAGTCAATAATTAAACGTAATTTATTTTATCTGCGTAGTTCAAATACATCTAAACCAAATTCACTTTAGAATGAAAAATTGATATGGAGATTCCTACAAACTTCCGGAGCTGCAGATTTTAGTTCACACCAAAAACAACCGAGAGGTAATTTCTAATACTTTAAGTTCCAGTTGTAATGTCACCTTGGATTCATGTTTATGTGCAATCAGATAACTTTATGATCGGCTTTTGAGGCATTTCGTCTTTTTTCTTTTATATCCTTACGTGTACCTTGTCCTATATACTATCAACAAAAACGCACCTTATAGGTGACGAGCTAACAGCGCTTGTATCGTCTATAGTCTGTAATGACTGAGAATACATGTTGAAGACGTCTTCGTCGAACCAAAAACGTCGATAAATTTAGACGACTTTTAAAATTTCTACCAAAACCATGGTGCTTTTTCAAGTCTCAACATCAGCTAGTCTAAATACCAAGTTACAAATTTAAAGCTCACAACTAGAAAAACAGTACTCGCGGATAATTCTCACATACTAATGCCACGGACTAATTTACAAGTCTAGAATTTTATGCTTAATTCGTGATTTCTTCACTAATAACTGGCATTACTCTGAACCGATCAAATTCAGTCCACGAGTGTTTGCATGTGATCAACAAAACCACCATATACCCCAGAAACTATCCAAACAAGTATAAAGTACACATTTAACTCTTATTAAGGTCTTTCAAAATTTATGGAACATGCATCATATTTTTTACATGATGAACAAAAGCTTTGTTATGTATATCTCGTTTTTTGTCTGGAAATTGAATAACCATTGGTCGCAAATGCAAAACATCACAGCAAACCATAAGAAATGTTTTCTTACCCATCTTATGAGGGCTTTCTAATAATAAGGCGTCCTATATACTTCGACCAAATAATAATCCATAGCCAGTAAAGTTAAAACCAACACTACGCATAGGTTAATTAAAGTTGAGTTGAATAAACAAAACTGGAACTTTACATTTAATCTTTACTTTCTTCAGATATCTTCTTGTGATTCGAAGAAAAAAGAGTTAAATTGAGGTAATTGTTGCAAGTTGAAATTGAGATGCTAATCATAGTTTACTGGACTTCAAACAGAACTGTTAGATTTCTCATGTTTGAGTTTTTCAACCTAACCGAATATTAATGTCCAAAATCAGCTTGAACCAGCTTCAAGCACTCACTTCTAAGTCTCTTATTTACTATGCTTTCCAAGCGTCCAGTGTTTAAACATTAAATTCCATATTACAGAAAATGAGTGTAGTTGTACATGTATACGGAGGGAAGCTTCTATTTACAGGTTGATGTTCTTGCTGTTTTAAATTATAAACATCACGGATGAAGAGTTGGTTAGACTCTTCAAAATGATATGCTTAGTTAATTTATTCTGATGAAAATGCCTCGAATTCCCCCCCCAGGTAGATAGGCAGAAATACAGAACATTCGAACTCCTGAAGAATATGTAGATCACTTATCTTTATATGGATGTATGACGTCAAGACCCTGGATAGCATCCTCCATAACACTTTTGTAGCCTTGCATCCTTTTTTATCATCATTCACAATCTGGAAATCCAAATTAACAGTATATTACTAAATCCCAATTTCTGTTTATAATTTCAAGCAGGTCAAATCAACAGTCACTTATGCTGTCAATCCATGCAGTTATTCAACGCAGCTTCTATAATAAAAACATGAATTCCACTTTTATGATCTAAAAAACAAAGATTTATTATAACTTTACACATTGATCAATAATTTTCAGTACTTAATGTTGCTGTAAAGTTCTCTAGGGAGCCAATGGAAAGAGATCCTGCTAATCGAACCGAATGCTAGCTGACTACAATCCTGAAAAAGTCAAAGGTGAATCAATCATCATTGATTATTTCCTCTGGCATCTGAAGCCACCGGTTTCGTTTACCTCACAATTCTTTGGCCTAGGGAGACCTGTTGATCTGATCCCAACTTGATCGCTTGTTAATGTTAACGAAATAAAGGTGCCGACTATCATCGTACGGAGATATCGATTTCAGTCTCGCTAGAAAATAGCGAAATAAGTTGAGTGCGAGAATAAATTTCCGACATGGATATTTCATGCACCCGCTTCCCGATACAGGTAAGGGAAACGAAGCGGAGAAGTAGACCGTAGAAAGCGAACGTACCAACTCTCTGTACTATTCACTACAAGTATTAACATGACCCGAAGTAGATCATGGACAATACGGCAAATAGACAAACACTGGTTATGAAAATGAATGATAGACATGCACATTCAAGTACACGCAATGAGCATGAGCTGAGAAATACGAGGATATGTAGACAACAAGTGTGTGCTGATGTTATATTTTCCAATGAAAACAACTGAGTTATTATGAAGCTAAACACGACACATTAGTTGCATACAGCTTGAGTTATTAGGTCTATTGGAAATCTAGGATGATCATGTGAGTGTGCATTAGTATCAGATCTGCAGACTCACAAATATACAAATGAGAGACTTTTCACTTCTTCTTGTAATATACATGGTTTCGTGAATTCAGTAACCAACATCATTATTTAGAAAAAGAAAAGTAAATCATGATATGACTTTGTAGTGGTATTTGTTCATAACCACAAGATTTTTGAAGCGGGCAAAAAAGCAAAATAAACACATTCATGCGTTTCGTAAACACACAACAGTGTAAAAACGAATTATGCAGAGTGGGTTTTTTTCTTTTTCCGCAATGATATAAATATTCGCATATAATCAACTATATTAGTAACAGAAATTTTGTTTTCTGGAATATATCTGAGCATATTAAAATTGGTTGTTCGTTTAACATAATAGAAAGAAAAATCGGGATGAAACAAAATGTTATTTAGTGTCTTACGTGCAATAATCATTTTAATGTTCTGAAAGCCTTACTCTCCTTTAAGAGTTTTGAGTCTGTTTTCAGATACCGCCAAAGTAAGATCATGTGTGTTGGCTATCTGATGAGGTATCGTAAACGTAAAACTTGTCTTTCGATTCTACCGAAGGAAAATCGACGTGAGTAGAGTTTCCGACTAAATGCGCTACCTTCATGCAATAGATAATGTTACTATAGTTAGTTCCGTTCTTATCGATTAAACAGCACGTAGGTTCACTCAGAAGAACTTCAAAGGGTCCTTCGTATACTGTTTCGAGTTGTCAAAGTGATTAATTGTAACCATCAAGACGTCTGTACTATATCACAAGGCAGGTTGAACAAAAACATCTGCTGACTGTTGTCGAGTGGAAACAGGTTTAACTGAATGCTTGCGCATGTAAGCCTGTTCGCTAAGGAGTTTACATTCATATTCACTGAAGAGGACGAAAAAGCCGGGAAGTCTCCTGGAAGCCGAATTGTCACCCCATAAACGAGTTCAGTCGCAGTCTATCCAATGTCAGCTTTTACTTCATTGTGAATATCATGTACGACGAGTGGAAGGGCGTCAGTCCACTGTGAAACTTTTGCAGTTGATGGTGAAGCTTTAGGCTGTCGGTGAAAGCGTTCTACTGACCCGTTTGCTTGTGGGTGGCAGGAGGTCTCTCGGGATCGTGTAATTCCTAATGGTGAAGCCAGACAACAGAAAAGTCCATATTCGAACTGGAGTCCACGGTCTGTAGTGATAGTTGAGGGGCAGCCGACGTTTGCCAACCATAGTTCGACGAAAGCGCGGGCCACTGTTCCAGAAGTAATGCCCCCGATGGTTACTGCTTCTAGTCATCGAGTAAAACGGTCTACGCAAGTTAAGATAAGAGTATCCATTCGAATCTGGTAAACGTCCTACCAAATCCAGATGAACATGGTCGAAACGAGCGTCGGAATTTTCGAATGAGCCTAAGGGACATTTGTTGTGTCTAAAAACCTTAGATTTCTGGCAGCTCACACAGAAGTATGCCTAATCTCTCACGTCTTTATTCATATCAGGTCAACAAAATCGCTCTGCTATGAGCTTGATGGATGCACGAACAGTTGAACGAGAAGGTGTGTGTAATGTACTGAAGATGTTGCGTCGATAGTATCTCGGTACCATCGGACAGTCGCCACCTGTACATGTGTCGCACAGTAAAGTTTCTTTACATGTTCCCATCTGTTTCCTTCGTAGTTTCAGGATTGTCAAAAACAACTTATGCTGAAGATCAGTGTCCTCTTTTTGAAGTTGTGTGAGTTTAATAATAATAATACTAATAATAATTTATTCTCAAACAACAGTTTGTTACATGAGGCATGCCAGTTTACAGGCAAGATCAAATTCTTACAAATGATACAATATCCACTGTAGTAAATTACACAGCTAGGTTGATAATTTATAAGATATGACTGTAGATGGTCTTAATCAGTATCACAGTTGGCGCGCTTCACGAAAGTTGCGTTGCGAATGTGCAACTGATGGTCAAGGATAGGTCCATTGAAGGTGGAAGCTTCTAAATGTCGCAACCTTATGTCCCTTTGGAATGTCTAAGGCTTTGAGGATGGTGCAGGATAAAATCTTTCGTTCCATATCACAAGGGGGCTGAAAGAGGGAGCAAGTAAAAGAAAACACGAGGGGCAGAGTAGCCAATATTCACGAAGGAATGTTTAAGGTATGATTACTCATTCTAATTTTCTTTTATTAAGGTATTTGTTATGAAAGAGCATTTTAATAGGTTAAAGAAAACAAGTGTTAACAAGGTGTGAGTGGACATACAACTGACAAATGGAGGCGATTCGGAAAGGAGCTGAGAGTATGGGATTATGTGTGGTTATAAAATAAAATATGGTGCTAGAAACAGTATTGTGATATACAATTGGCTATCTTTTTTATCGAAGCAATTGGAGCTCTTTTCATTTTTTTTGTATTATTTTTTTCAGGTATCATAGGGTCTTGAGTAGGCTTCGTATATTAGCGAATTGTCTAGTTTGCTTGTAATAGGATTACTGGGTAGGAAGTGAAACCAATTCAACGTTCGTAACACGATTTAAAGAGGTATTTTGCGTGATAAATCAGTATCAATACCATAAGTTCGTGACATCCCATTAAACCATAAGGAGCCGTAATTAAACAAATTTTTCTGCCCTACAGACATGGGTGGATTGAATTTATCTCCCCACCTTCATGTTTGCTGGTCAGTAACGCCACCCTCCCTCCTTTTGTGATGTTAGGCTCTCTTACGTTTGTGGTAAGTATGAATACTGCTTTAATCAAAGCCCATGGTTGGAATACACTGTCTCTACTAGGTCCATGTTACAAGCAAATAAGATAGTTAAAAAGTGTGTTTTATGGGTTAGATGTCCACATAGTATATCACACTGCTATGAAGATAACTAATGGTTTAAAGAAGTAAGGACTAATAGCAAATCAAAAGGTATGGGAGGGTATAAAATTGTAGAAAAAAAGATCTCAGGGTAAAAAAATAAAACATTGAGAAACTCACAAGACTTTGTGGCCAAATTTTGAGCTTTGTAGGATCGGCCTTAGTAGATCAGCATCCATAAGATTAGTGAGTTATCTGTGTACTTGCGATAGAAAAAAAGGCATGACTTTTAGGAAGCATAATGTACATTTAATCTGTAGAGATTTGGGAACTCAGAGCTAGGGTTAGGAGCATAAGGCCATGATTAATAAACAATGAATAATAGGAAAGGATAAGCCTTATATTCTTTCTAGATGCTAGGCGGTCCGTAATAAAGTGCCTCATTAATGGGCGGGAGTTCAAGGAAATGTTGAAGCTCTTTGGAGTCTAGAAATAGGGTTATTAGCTTTTTGAATCTGGTAAACGTATCACAGTTGCGGATAGGCATTGGCAGCCTGTTCCACAATAAACTATACCGTACTGTAAAAAACTTACAACGCATTTGTTTTTGGTGTTTTACGGTAAGTAGTGTATATGCGTTGTTTCTAAGTCTATAGGCTGGGTCGTGGGTGATAGTCGGGCAGGAGGTTAGAA